CTTCTACTCGAACATTTTCTGGTAAATAACTTAAAATAACATGCATTCCTCCAGCTTTATTAACTGGTGGATCTACATGAATATCAGTACCTCTTCCACCTTTATTCGTTGCAATAATAATATCACCGTTAATAATAATATCACTCGTTGCTTTAGATAGTAGTTTACAAGAAATTCAATATAAAAATTTACCGAGAGAAACAGGAAGTAACGATGGTGAACCAGGGCGACCAGGTGAAGCGGGTAAACATGGCAGAGATGGTCTAGATTATGTCATTATATACAGGCGGGGACGAGTATTAAGACGAAAAGTAGATCAGGTAAAAGGAGGTCGCCTTAGTTCTCGTCATAGGGATAACGATACTGAGATCCGACGCTGTGAAAATGTTTTGATGCTTTCATTCGACGATGATGAAAAACATCTTAGATTTAAAAGCAAATATGTTGATAGAAATGCGTAAAAAGGAGCTAGTATGACTCATACACATAAAGATCAAGAAGTTGTACAGAAAATTCATGCTATTAATTGTCAACATGTTTTTCAAGTAACGTCACAATTTTATAATAAATATAATAATCTTCAAAAATTATCGTATCAACATTGGTTAGCTTCAAATCTAAATGAATTCTTAGGAAAGATTGCTAGATTAGAAGGTTTACCACCTAGTGAAATATACGCACTTCCTGATATTGAACATGATGCGAAACAAATTTTAATTTTAAAACAAAAATTTACAGATACTATTAATATAGAAAACCAACGATTAAATTCAGAAAAAATTGATACAGATCAAATGAGTATTGGAATAAAGTTATTAGGACAAGTAATATTAAGTCAATATAATGAATTTTTACAAAAATATCAAATAATTTATCAACAATTACAAAAAGAAATTCAATGAATCAACTAACAATAGGATTAGAAATTCAAATTATTGAAATTGCAAAAATAAGAAATACAATTAATAGAATTATTAATGAACAACGTTTTAATCAACGTCTTATTGCATCACAAAGACGTACAGATATACTTACTGATAATTCACGACAAGAACTTTCAAAATCGATTTTAGATAGACAGAATGTTAAAATTCTTCAGAAAGAGATTTCTAAACAAGAACGGAAAAAATTTCCAATTGAAAACAATATCATTCAAAATAAGATAATAGAAGAATTTAATAAAAAACCCAATGAAGAATATCTTTTAAAAATCAGTTGTTATTTTCTTTTTGAATTAGAAAAAATTCTTTCTCAGAATAACATAGAACAAATTAACAGATATCATATTTCAAATTTTACTAATATTTATCTTTATAATTTACAACAAGGAAATTTTACTTTTAATGATTTAAAATTTATTGAAAAACAAAAACAAGCATTTTATAAAATTTTACCTAAATTTAAATCATTAGAAAATACTTATATATTAGATTTATTAATAGAATTTTGTAAAGGTATACAAAGAGAATATTTAAGACATTATTGGTTAATATGGATAAGAAAAACATTAAATTATGCAGAAAATCAAAGAGAAATAAAAGAAAATCTTTTAAATCTTTTAGATAAACTTCATGTAGCTGATGATAATCAACTTAAACAATTTGATAATAATCTTAAATCTTCATTTTTACTAAAAGAATTTCCTGATTATGATTTTAATGAAGATTTATATCAAAATAATAGATTACAATTAATAGAATCTATTGATAAGTTTAATGAAAATAGTAATCAAGAAAATTTATTTCAAATTTTTCAGATTTTTTCAAATTCAATATTTTCTGATAAAAAACCAAAAAAAATATTTTTGAAAATTTATTAATTAATATTGAACAATTAAATATTATTCAAGATTTTCTTATTATTTTTCAACATAATTTAAATTTAATGAATATCCATGAAAATCAAGTTAATAGTTTAATAGAACAAATAGTTAAAGTAGAAGAAATTCTTATTCAATATCCTCGATCTTATTTCTATGATATTATTTTCAATTTTTTAATTAGTATAATGAAAATAAGTAAATTTTTAACTCCTGATAGAATGGAATATTTAAATACAATCGATCAATCGAAAAATTTATGTAAATTATTAAATTTTCAAACTTCGAAAACCTATGAAAGAAAAACAACATTTACAATTAAACAACGAATAGACGCTTTTAAAACTTTATATGATCCAAATTTAGTTGAAGAAATCTTTCAAAATCTTTCAGATATTAATAATTTATTAGAAGAAAAAGAATTAAATGACTTTTTTCAATGGATCGTCAATCATTTAAATAATTTCGATAATAAAACAATAGAGAATATTCTTAATATTGTAGAAAATAGTTTGCAAAATCTAATAAATAATAATCTTCAATTTTTAAGAATAGTTTTTAATTATAAAAAAACTAAATTAGATATTGAAAAACAAAAAAAAGAAATTGAATTAATTAATATCGAAAAAGAAAATTCTTTAATAGATTTTTTATCAATTGTAAGCAGATGTAATAGTTTATTCACGCATATCTAATGAACAATTATATTTTTGTATTTTTATGAATGAAATTTATCAAAAAATAGGAGATCATCTATATTTTTATTTTAAAGATAATGATTCAATTAAATTAGTATTTGAAAATGAATTTGAAAATTTTTTTAATAAACATCAAAAACAACAGAAAACTATTGAAAAGATTTTATCTGATTTAGCATTATCTTTTATTAATATTTTAAAGCACCCTGTCGGATTTAAAAATTTGAAAGTATCAAAAAGCTGAATAGCAGATTCGATAGAGAATTTTATTGCGCATCTAACCATATTTGATTTTTGGTTTGAAACTATGATCGTTCCTCAAAAAATAATTTTTTAAAAAGTTTGACCATTTACTGACATGAGATGAAAAAAGTTTTTTAACTCAGTAAGAAGGTATAGTGAAGATATTGTTTATACCGGATTTTGTAGAGTGGAAAATGCGCTATAAACTGGCGATAAAAGAATTAAAAGAATACAGTTGTTGTTTGAGAAAAAAATATTTTTCGAGCAAAATTTCAAATTTTCATTTTTCATACGTTTCACTAAATCTTCTATAGCAGGTCAAAGAAATACAATACCACCGCCAAACTTTGTCAAAAATTGCCTGATACTTAACTCTATCTAGCAACACAATTTGAGTCTTCAATGCCGGGTGCATCAATCAGAAAAAAATTCAACATTG